GTTCAAGTCCTAGATCTGGTGGCTTAAAAATCACACTGGACATGTGTACCCAAAACTCTCAGGAGGAGAATGGAGATGGGATTGTGGCAAGGACTTCCCTCCAGGGCGGTAATGTCTCACTTACCCTCTCATTGTCTCTCTAGCAAATGCATATAGCAAAAACGCCTTCCTCTCCCCCCCAAAAAAAGAAATTAAATGTAAATATTGGCTATATGGGCTTACTACTAGCTTAGGTTCTGAATAAAAGCTTGCGAATTCATGGCAAGAGATTCTTATCACTGAGGTTGGAAGTCACAAGAAAAAAAAAGCAATGCAAGTTTTAGAAAAACCAAGGGATAACTGAATGGAAGTTAAGAGAGACATCAGAATATGTTGTCACTACATTATTCTCTTTATCAAAAGGATCTGCTGAAGAAGCAGTTTGAAAATAAATTGGTATAGTAAACTGAATTAAAAGGAACAGAAATAGTTGCCAACATAAAAGGTAAAATAATCAGAACAAAGAGGGACAAAGGATGATTCTGGAAGCTCTAACTCACAAAGTACCTTCTCTTTGTTCTTGACTCTAACTTACATGATTCATCAAATCCAAACAACTGCAGGGATTATAGGCACTGGGGTAAGAAAAGCCATGAGAACCTCTGTGAATTATGTATTAAACTTTCTTCCCTGAGCCTGTAAAGTTCTATCTACAAACCAAGATTGAAGAGCCCTTCTTCAGAGACTAGAAAAAAAAGAAAACAAAGATCCTAGTGATGCCTAGTCTATAGAAATACTCCATGAAACCAAGGGTAGGCAATTCAATATCAAGAGGTCTATCATATATTCATAGATTATAATCTACTCCATCAACAAATTAAAGAAAATCAGATAACCATTTAAATAAAATAAAATTTACTAATATGCTAGCAACCAACATATTTTCCAAAAGACTGAAAAACTAAAAGCAATTTAATTAAAATCAGTAATTAAAAGGAAAATGCTGATTATCATCATTAACACTATCTTAATGCTTCTATTAAATATAAAAACAAAACCAAGAAAATTTTGCAATCCTACATAAACATTTAAAGAGGTGAACCTTTTTATTGTTGATATAAAAATCTCACAAGGTAACAGATAATTATAATCAGAACAATTAACCAAATATTAAGAGGTAGATGGGTAGAGAATTTCTAAAAAACAAATTGGTCTTTTTTTTTTTTTTTGCAGCAATTAGCACCTAAAAACGGAAATTGGAAAAAAAATAATTTGCTTTAGTAAGAATACTCTAAGATAATTCTTAGGAATAAATTTTAAAAAGGCACAAGATCCATGAGGGCAACTCTTAAGTGCTTAAAAGATAAAAATTAACCACTACACATATTCTTAGATGTGAAGACAGAACAATCTTGAAATTATAGTCTCAATTAATATGAAAATTAGATACATCTGAACTGGAATCCCTTCATAACCCTTAAAAAGTAGTGATGATGCTGACATTTAATAAATGATTTTATGGAAGATTAAGTTCATAAGAACAGTCAAGTAAACTATGAAATAGGAAACAGAAAAGACATGCTTTATCAATATCACAAGAGGATTCAAAAACCTCTTCAAACAAACAAAAGTCCTGGGATAGAAATACACAAACAGATTAATAAACTGAACAATCTAGAAATCAATCCCAGTGTATGTAAGAATTTAGGATCTGACAAAAATGGTAGTTCTGCTCAGTAGGAAATGGCAGTGGCACAGCTGGTTAGCCATCTGGAACAAAGTAAAACTGGACCACAATTTAATGCCATGTATAAAAATAAATTCCAGATGGATTACAGACATAAAAATTAACACATACAATAAAAATTGTACAAGAAAATCCTGTAAACTACGTTTATAATATCAAGAGATAGGAAAATCCTTAGCCAAGACAAAACTTTCTACATTAAAACTGAAAATGTTTTCTATGACATGAGCCACAAATAATGTCAACATAAAAAGTATAGAATTAAAAAGATACTTATAATGTAGATGTGAAGGATTAGCACACAGAAAATATTAATATGCAGAGTACTTAAAAACTGGAGACATCTTAAAAAAAGAAAAATGTACAAAGAATATGAAGAAGTAATACACAGTAGAGAAGACTGCTCTTCATTACTGGTAGGGAACTGCAAACTAAAGATATACTGGCGTCACTTATAGTCACTGACAGCAAAAACTAAACACAGTGATAGTAATACTGATTGGAATATGAGTCAACAGGTACTTTGCAGGTAAAACTGTCAACTGTCACATCCTTTTAGAAAAGCAAGCTGGAAATATATTAAATATAAAAATCAACCACTTAAAAAACATGTTATACTTTTAGCCAGCAATCATGCTCCTGACAATCTATTCCACAAAACTGTATAACATTATGTAAGGCTGTATAGTGAAAAACTATTTAGAGGCTAAAAAGCAGAAACTAAGTAAAGGTTTATCAATAGGAAAATGGTTGAATAAGAATATACTTTTAAAAAGCAACAACAACAACAAAAGTACATGAATCTATTTTCATGAAATTCTGTATAAAGGGTTTTTTTAGAGACAGGATCTTATACTGTGTTGCCCAGGGTGGCCTAAAACTTGAGATCCTTCTGGTTCAGCCTCCCAAACAGCTGGGATAATAGATGAATGCCACCACACTCAGTCTAAAAAAACCATTCTTTTCGTTCAAGGATAAACGAATAGAGTAATAAGAAAGCAGCATCTTTGGAGTCAGTCCCAAGTTTCAGATTCTGCCTTTTCTACTTATTCCACTAGCTGAATGACCCTAAAAAGCCTCAGTGAGCTGTTTCTTCATTTATAAAACAAAAAAGGATTTTCTTAGCCTTAACAAGACAAAGGGTATAAAGTGCTTTGCATAACATTCAGCATATATTAAGTACTAGAAAAAGTAACTATTATTATTGTTACATTATTCCCTTCCTGGTTCCTCACTAAAATTAAAACAACAACTCTACAATTTCGCTTTAAAAAGGAAACTAGGAACTGGGGTCAGCAGGTGCCATGATAGTTAAGGCATTGGATTCCCACATGGAAGGGACTGCGGTGTGGCCATATCTCCTGGGGGCTGATTTCACACTTTCCCTCTCTCTCTCTCTCTCTCTCTCTCTCTCTTTCTCTCTCTCGCAAGCGTATGCCCTATGGCAAAAATCCGAAAAAAGAAAAATATAAAAGTCTAGTCATATGCATAATAATGTTTAATACGAAATATAAAGAAAATATCACCAGTGTTTCACTAACCAAACACATCAGATACTGTTAATTAGACGGTCTTTTACACATCAGGTAATTACGTTTCCTTTTCTATTGATAGAACCAGAAAAATAAAATCCAACATCATAGATATTTCACATCATTAATCTGTATAACCTTACTGAAAAACATTAGTTTAAAGCGATAAAACCTTAAGGAAATTTTGGCTAAAAACTTCAAATTATTTCAAAAGAAGCTGGAAAGATCTTGTTACAAAGCCAAAACATAACTTGACAACAAGAGAAAATAATCAACTAGGTGTACCTGTGCAAGCTGTACATGTCATGAAATCCCACTCTTTGATGGCTCCATACTAGGACTACAAGGCTCTTTCCATCCTACCATGCCTGGGAACCTCTTTTCTGAAACTCACATCAAATATTATATTTTTGATAAACATTCCACTGTTCTCTCAGGCTAAATTCATCACTCCTTTGGATAACTCTCACTGTGGGTTTTCAGACACATTCTATCATATGACAGTTAACCATGTTTGTGTTTGGCCTTCTAGCTCCAATACTGTGACTATAAGTGCTCTATTTAATAATGATTAACCAGTTTTATCAATATAATAGAAGAAATCAGAGAATTACTTCCTGAAACATCTACCTAGAAGTAAGATGATGAAAAGGAGCACTACTATTCTGAGGACAAAAAAATAATCAGGGACCAGCAGGTGGCATGGTGGTAAAGGTGCTGGACACTTCCACATGGCCGACCATAGTTGGGAGTCTTGGATCTGGTGGCTTTCTCTCTGTCTCTGTCTCTATGTCTCTCTGTGTGCGTCTCACTTTGGTCAAATTAAAATAAATAAATGGATTAAATAATTCCTTAAAATTCTCCTAAAGAAAAGTCCCATCTCATGTTCAAATACTGTTCTGTTAATAAAGATTTTTTTTTGTTTATTCTATACTGCTTTATGAAGACCTTATTCGTGTCCTATAAGTTTTAACATTTTTAAAGAAGGTTCTATCTTTTGTCATACTGAAATGTTTTCACATATTATTGGAAATTCTGACCAAATACATTCATAACCCATGTTTGAGATATAAATACTTACCAATGGAGAAACAGTTTCCTAGCAATAAACACTTGAAGAATTTGAGAAAACTAAAACTAAAAACACGGGCATGAAGGCATAAACATTGCCCAACCTTGCAGAAAAATACTCTAAATCCTTGTATGTATATGTACGTAATGGTTTTTCTTGCTCCATTTGCAAAATCTTAAGAAATGTATGAATTTAAGAAGTAGATGTCATAAAAATAGGGTTTTTACTTTAGGAGAACAAGCTAAAAAGGAATAACGCTTAAGATTACAAAATTATTTTTTTCTTTATTGCAGAAACTCAGAATTAGGCCTTTCCTACCAATACACTTCTGTGATGTGTGAAAAGGAATTAGGATAAACAAAAGGAAGTTTTTACATATCACAGCACAATTCATCTAACTAAATATCCAATTACAGTAAAAAAGGATATAGATACACAATGAGGATATCCTAGAGGACATCTCTTGCCTCCTAAATAAAGTCAATCAAGAAAGAAAACCTTATGCCTTCTTTGTGCCAACAGAAAAAACATCTTTCAGAAATATGACAGTTTCATTCTTACATTAGATAAAGGAATTGTAATAAATTAACTGAAGTTAAATAACCACAATGATCTTTCCATTACAAATCTCTAACAGCCTTAATGTTGAAGCTAAATAATCATCCCTTACCTTTGTGATGAGAATTCGGTATTTTTCTACCAGGTGGTCATTGTTATGACAGCCTGCTAGCAGTTGCCAGACTTCTCCTCTAAGAGCTTCTGGGACACCATTTCTTACTAAGGACGACAACTGCTTTGGTCTCACACTCAAGTTGAGATGCCTAAAAATAAAGTCATAACCCGTGAATTCATAAGATTCTATAGATTGTTATTTTTATGAAAACTGCTTTATAAAGACTTGTATGGTAACGTACTAATGAAAAAAATTAGGAGGTGTAGAAGTACATGTGGCCAAGACAACTGTTAAAGAGACTGTGTGGAGGCATCAGCAAATAGAGTAATGGTTACGTTGCTGCACTCCTACATACTCAACCATGGTTTGTTCCAGACCTAGGGGCTTAAAACTCATGCCGTGTGTGTGTGTGCCCAAAATCCCAAGAGGAGAATGGAGGAGAAGGGATTGCAGCATGGTCATCCCCCTGGGAGGAGATTTCTCGCTTTCTGTCTATCTCACCAGTGGGCACATGCACCCTATAGCAAAAATTTCTCTCGAAAAAAGAGATTGAGCCAGCAGATGGCACAGTGGTTAAGGCACTGGACTCCCATGTGGTAGACTACGGTTTGATTCTTGGACCTGATGGCTTGAAATTCACACTGGGCACATGTATGTGTACACCCAAACTCCGAAGAGAATAGAAAAGAAGGGACTGTGGCATGACCACCCCCCTGGGGGGGGTAATATCTCACTTTCTGTCTGTCTCTCTGGCAAGCGCACGTGCCCCACAGCAAGAAAAAATCTCTAAAAAAGAGAAAGACTGGATGGAGGAAAGAATAAAGATCTATAAACTACTTCCTAAGTTTCTTTTAATTATTATTCTACCTTTAAAAAGGGTGCAGGGGTGGGGGGGAGGCTGGCAAGTGGCATGACACTAGACCCCCACATGGCTGACCATGGTTAAAGTCCTGGAACTGATGGTTTGTATCCTCACTTTCCTTTTCTCCCCCCTCCCCCCACTGAAATAAAAAATAAAAAAATAAAATTAAAATAAATAATTATTTAAAAAATAAAACTACAAAAAAAGGGGGGCCAGCAGGTGGTGTAATGGTTAAGGTGCTAAACTCCCACACGACCGACTGTGGTTTGAGCCTTGGACGTGGTGGCTTGAAAATCATGCCAGGGAACTGTGCGTGGGTGCCCTAAATCCCAAAAGGGGAATGGAAAAGAAGGGACTGTGGTACTGTCATCCCCCCCAGCAGTGATTTCTCACCTTCCCTCTCTCTGTTCCTCTCCCATGAGCACATGTATCCTATGGCCAAAAAAGACCCCAAAAAAGAAAACACACACACACACGAAGAAAAGTTGAGAACCACAGATGATATTTTGTGGTTGTTGTGGTTTATGTAAGTAAGAGCAAATTCCAATCAGTACACACAGAGTAAGACAAGGTCTTGACCACATACCAAAATTGACTGGTGGGCTGACCTTGCAGCGCAGGGTTAAACACTGCACAAAGGAAGTCAGATTCCACTTAGTTGACCAAGGTTCAAGTTCTGGCCCTGGTGGCTTGAAAAACACACTGGATGTACATGTACATGCCCAGGATCCTGAAGGGATAAATATTAGAGGAAAAAGGATTGTGGCATGACCAAGACCCTTTGTGGGGTACTTTCTCTGTCTGTCACTATGTCTTGTGTGTATGCATGTGCCCTCTTGCAAGGAAAAAAAAAAAATTGACAAATGAATTGTGTATTGATATGTCTTAAGATAAAATCTTTCAAGTGTGTTCTCAGCAATGTGTTACGGTGTCTTCTTATAAGAAACTTTTTTCTGAAGGCCTATAGTGGCTAAGAACGTTTTTTATATACTACAACATTACGAGTTATAAGTCTGTAAGCTTTATTTCATCTATAAAATGAAGAAAATACAACTTACATTAACATGTTGATATAATTAACAAAGTATGCTTGTGTAAAAAGTATTATTTGAGGTCCTACAGGAGACATGGTGGTAGCGCTGGACTCCCACATGGCTGACCATGGTGCAAGTCCCTGATCTGGCAGCTTGCTTTCTCACTTTCTCTCTCTCTCTTAGGTGAGCTCACATGCACTATAACAAATTAAGACAATAATAATAATAAATAACTCTTCAAAAACAAGTATTTGACACTCTTCCAACAACCATATAAGGTAGATAATATGATCTCCAGTTTTACAGATAGATAAAAATATTCAAGGAAGTCAATTAAATGACTGAGGTAGACCAAAGAGTGCTGTTTTCTAAGAATTGGTTTGTGATTTGAAAGCCATTATTTCTGAGTCAATAAATCTGGATTGGGGTCAATAGATGGCATGGTAGTTAAGGACACTAAACTCTCACATGGCCAACCGCAGTTCAAGTTTCAGACCTGGCAGCTTACTTTCTCACTTTCCCTCATTCTCTCTCTCTCACTCTATCCCTCTCTGGTCAAATTAAAATAAATAAATTAAATTAAATTAAATAATTCTTAAAAAAAAAAATAGGGGCTGGCAGGTGGCATGGAGGTTGAGGTACTAGACTCCCACAGTTTAAATCTGGACCTGGTGGCTTGCTTTTTCACCTTTCCCCTCTCTCTCCCTGTCACTCTCTAGTCAAATTGAAAATGATAATAATAAGTGAAATTAAATAATTATTTAAAAATAAATAAACCTGGATCTTGACACAGAGGAACACCATGACTATTAGATTTAAAAAGAAGTCACTGACACAATATTATCATTATCCTATTAACAATATAAAAAGGTGGATCAGCAGGTGGTACAGTGGTTAGGATACTTGATTCCCACATAGTAGACTGCGGTTTGAGTCCCAGACCTGGTGGCACAGGCACCATGTGCGTTTGCATGCATGCCCAAAATCCTGAGGAGAATGGAGAAAAAGTGACTGTGGTGTGGCCATCCTCCTGGGATGGAGGGAGATTTCTTTTTCTCTTTGGTGAGTGCACATGTCCCATAGCAAAAATTTCTATCAAAAAAAAAATATATATATATTTATGTAGATATATAAATAAAGCCCTGAGACTTTCCTCAAAATGTTCCCAGAATTCTGTAATAATACACAGCACATGTAAAAATGTATTAATTCTATGATATCAGTACCCTTATGCAAAAGTAAAAAGACAATTTATTATGATTGTGTCCTCACTTAGATAAAAAAAATTATATAAAAGTTGGAGAGTTCTGAGCAGAAAGAACAACAGTAGTTCTGATACTTAAGGATTGATACACTGTGATCTATGAGTTATCCAGCTCACTATGTATTTCTGCAAATAAATTTTTATTCAAATATAGCTAGGCTTATTTGTATAGATACTATCTATGATTGTTTTTGCACTGCAACAGCAGAGTTGAGTAGTTATGAGATGCTGGGCCCACAAGACCTAAATATTTAGTACCTGGCCCGTTATAGAAAAAAAGTTTCCTACCTCTAGCTTAATTTATATTGGAAAAGTACTTTCAGAATAATTTCATGCCATTAATAATATTAACATGAGCTTTCCAATTCAGCATATATATATATTTTTAATGCCAAAGGACACACACACACACACACACGAAAAAGAGAGAGAATCCCCCCAAGAGGACCTGGTTACATCTCAATCCTTTTTCCTCCATTTTCTCTATCCTGTCAGGATCTTGGGCATATGTACATACACCTAGCATGTATTTCAAGCTGCAAGACCAGGATTCAAATCACAATCAGTCATGTAGGATCTGGCTCCCTCTGCACAGAACGTAACCACTGTACTGCAGGGCTGGGCCCTCAGCATACTATTTCATACTGGCACTAGTTCTTTTACTCGCTAAGGATCCATTAAGCTGAACTTGAAGAATCAGAGCTCAAGGATACTAATACTCCTACTAAAGTCTAATATAAAGTTAAATAAACCAGTTTTAGGATCAGATGTAACTGTGTTAAAAACGCTGGTTCTGCCATTTACTAACAAGCATAGCCTAATTCCATGAGCCAATTTCCTCATCAGTATAAGTAGGTGCCAGTTCATTCGTTTGTTATGGTTGAAAGAGAGTGTTTAACTTAGTACAGTGCCTAGCATATGGTAAATTGATTAGTTCTTATTACTATAATTACCACAACCATGACATACATTATTTATTTATTTATTTATTTATTTTTGGAGAGGTTTTTTCTATAGGCACATGTGCTCACCAGAAAGGCAGACAGAGACAGAGAGACAGAAAGCGAGAACCCACCCCCTGGAGGGATGGCCATGCCGAGATCCCTTCTCCTCCATTCTCCTCTCAGGATCTTGGGCATGTATGCACATGTGCCTGGCGTGAGTTTAAGCCATCAGGTCCAGGACTCGAACCACGGTCAACTACATGAGAATCCAGTGACATAGCCATTATGCCAACTGCTGGTCCCAACAGCCATTATTTTTAATCTACAGGAATTTTAATGGCCATTTTATATACTTCTATGTTATAAATGAAAAAAGAGTTAACCTTGGAAGTCAAGAGTTAAGCTGGGATTTGAAGCCAGGTCTCCCAGTCTCCAAAATTCCATGATATTACAATGCTGCTGATCCATAGAACACATAATATAACGGGAAAAAAATGACATGACTTGTAAAAAGAGACTATGATACTGTATCTGAAGATATGACTAAAATAATCAAAAATGTTTAAATGTCCTTAAAACAGTGGAGACAGAAGGACAGTCAGCTAATATGTTTCAGAGAGTAGAAAACATATTAAATGAATAATATAATTATAAAGCTTATATAACAAAACAAATTTCAAGCCAATTTATAAAAGGCTGGTGGGTTCATCTAATACAATCTAATTCTAGAGTCTAAATGCTTTATCTAAATAATTTAAAATACACTATTATATAACCACGTCAAAACTAAATTACGTTTCTGTTTTAGAGCAGAAATCTCTTTATACAAATGCAATTCTTGTCAGCAACAGCCCAAACACTCCAAATTCACTGAGATGAAAATATAATTATGAGAAGAGTGCCAGCAGTTGTCTCCTGATTGTAAAGAAATATAAAAAATATATGAGAATCATTCCCCTAGGAGCTTTTGAAGAGTTCATTTATTAAAGTCACTTGTGTAGACAAATTATGCTTTGCTTTTTTCCTCCAGTACACAATTGGTATTCCCTGATGAGGGTGTTTTGCAAAAGTGTAGAAGAATGCAAGCATGCTTGAAGCAGGTCAAGCCCACTTGTAGCAATGTTCCCTAAGGACATGAAACAATTTTTTTTTTAATGCTGAGTACAGTTTTACGAAAAATAGAGTGAAAAAACTTAAGCAGATGAAACTTCTGAGAAGAACCAGCAGATGGCAGAATGGTTATATCTCTGGACTCCCAGGGAGTTGACTGTGTTCAAGTCTCAGACCTGGCGGCTTAAAACTCATGCCAAGAGTATGTGCATATGTGCTCAAAATCCTAAGAATGGAAAAGGGATTGAGGTGTGGTCATCCCACCAGGGAGTGTTTTCTCACTTTTTGCCTGTTTCTCTAGAGCATGCAAGCACCCTATAGCAAAATTCTCTCAAAAAACAAAAACCAAACATGCAAACAACAAATTCTGAGGAAAAAAAATCAAACCCCAAAGTAACAAGCCCACAAAAAGCTTATAAGACAACCCTAGTAACCAGAGCATCAGAAATAAAGAAGTGCTCAGAGATCACTTTTAAGCATATTTCTTTCTTTCCTTTTTTTTCCCCATAGGGCATGTGGAGGAGAAAGAGGGAGAAAGAGAGACAGAAAGAGCAAAAGAAAAGTGAGAAATTCCTACCACCTCATCCTGTGTGGTGGCCACACAATCCCTTCTCCTCCTTTCTCTTTTTGGAATTTTGGGCACTCATGCACACATGCCTGGCATGTTTTTCAAGCCACCAGGACTGGACATGAACTGTAGAGTCGGCTATGTGAGACCCAGTGCTTTAACCACCAAGCCGCCTGCTGTCTCCCTAAGCCCAACTTTTTTCAGAAATATACTGGCATCCTACCCAGGGAAAAAAAGGAAGCTATTGGATCGTATGGAAATGGTAGCATTTTTGCACAGAAAAATAGCATGATTTTCCTGAAGACCTAACACATAAATGTCTCACCAGCCTCACTTGGCAGAGTATCTCCGACTATGTTAATAAATACTTGAATATTTTCTTTACAGACAGCCTGTAGATAAGTGTGTGTGTATATGTGTATAGTGTTTTAGAGTCTCATTGTGTTGTGATCCTTCTGCTTCAGCCTCCATGGTCACAGAACTACAAGTGTGTACCACCATATCCAGCTACTGCCCATGCTGGCTATGAAGCCACAATCCTGCTTCCATATCCCAAGTAGCTGGGTATAGTTACAGGTGCACACAACTGTGCCTGACTTTTGAGGGTGGGCCAGGAATCAGGCCTTCCACATGGCCTCAGCAACATCAAGCACATCCTACTACAGCTGGAGCAGGACAGTACTTTTTATTTCCTTTTAGTTTTGCCAGAGGGTATGAATGCTCAAGAAAGAGAAACAGAAAATGAGAATGAAGCCTCCCCATGCATGGGGGATGATTAGGCCTCAATCCCTTCTTGGTTTTCCCCTCCTTTAGGAATTTTAGGTGCATGCACGTGCCTGGATTGTCTCTCAAGCCATTGGGTCCAGGACTTCAACTGTGCGGCCAGGTGGAATCCAGCCACCTTACCACCAGGCCAAGGGCTGACCCTAGGATAGGGCTTCTTTTTTTTTTTTCCTTTTTTTGGAGAGGTTTTTGCTATAGGGCGCATGCGCTCATCAGACAGACAGAGACAGAGAGACAGAAAGCGAGAAATCACCCCCCAGGGATTGGTCACGCCGCAATCCCTTCTCCTCCATTCTCCTCTCAGGATCTAGGGCACGCATGCACATGCGCCCGGCGTGAGTTCAAGCCACTGGGTCTGGGACTCAAACCGCGGTCGACTACATGGGAGTCCAGCGACATAGCCATTACACTAACTGCTGGTCCCCAAGGATAGGGCTTCTTAACAATGCTGTCAAATCTGTGCTCGCTTCAGCAGCACGTATACTAAAATTGGAATGATACAGAGAAGATTAGCAGGGCCCCTGCACAAGGATGACACGCAAATTCGTGAAGCGTTCCATATTTTTGATGGTAATAAAAAAAATTTAAAAAAAGAACACAATGCTGTCAAATCTATGTCTTAAGTTGATGAGAAATTCCTGAAATTTACAAGCATTACTAGGAAAACTAATTAGGAGTGCAATAATGATCATACTGTGACACTGTCATCCTAGGTACGTATCGTAAATACAGAAAAATCCGACCTGGAGTCTCTACTGTGGCAATATGCATTATGTGCACATTATGTACCCTGCCCTGATTACTGAGTATAGTTTTAACCAGCCAGCAGTTCTTAACCTCTTCAGTATAAAGGACCTCTTTTCTTTTTATTTGTCCATGAATTCTATGTTTGGATAAGTATATTTTACAGCCTAGAAAGTTTATTAGGTTTTTGATATTCTGAAAATTGACTTAAGATCACTACTGCCCTTATAAAAAAGATTCTAGAATAAAAACCTCATAATTAAGTTTCTATTGGTTATAAAACTGAGTATTATAGCTAGGTAAGATGCCCTACTGATAAAAGAGAATTGCAGTTGAAAAGGGCAACTATTCTAACTTACCATTTTGACAGCAGTTCTCCCCATGTTTCAAGAATTTTTTCTGCACATTCTTTGGATACATCACCAGATCCACTCAAGAGAGGTTCATCGTTATCTTTAATAAACAAAACACACAAAGAAGGGTAACAGAGGTGTCTATGCTAGCCAGAATGACATGTAAATGTAAGTTAAAATCAGAAGGTGCATAAAGTCAAAACTTCTTTTAGTATTATGTATAAATAAAAAGAAAATAAAAATGGTCCCAGGTGGAATATTATTGTAACCTCTTTAATTCTTTTTTGCTTTCCATATAGGCCCATATTATGTCAGGCACAGAAAAGAATCACTTAATTATAAAATTTTCTGACTCGAAATATTGTATGTCCCCTCTCCTTTTCCAAAGCAAACGGTTTTATGCATGAAATATATAGCAGTACTATTTTTATAACAAAAAATTTCAAACCACCTATATTTCCAACAATAAGAGAATAAATTATGATACAAATATACAATGTAGCTGCTCGCTGACAATTATATTTATAATGATATAGTGAAATGCCAAATAAAATTAAAATATAGGGCCAGCCCATAGTCTGGTGGTTGAAGAAATTGGATTTCACATGGCCAGCTATGTGGTTTAAGTCCCAGACCTGGTGGCGTGAGAAACATGCTGAGTGTGTGTGCATAAATGTTCCAAATTCCAAAAAGATATAGAAATGGAGAAGAGACTGTAGTATGACCATATCACATAGAGAATACTTTCGCTCTTCCCTCCCATCCCTGGTGAGCACATGCACCCTTTGACAAATTAAAAAAACATAAATAAATAAAAATATGAAGTGCTAAATCTTCATTATCATCCAAACTGTGTCAAAAAATATATATATAAAATAGAGGGACTGGATGGTGGTGCAAAGGTAAAATGTGCTACTCTGTGAGGGTGGCCCATTAAGGGAAAGTTCTAGATTTACATCCTTAGACCTCCCTGAGTACATAGGACACTCACATGCCTATAATAAAGAACAAGCTGACTAGGGCTGGAAGATGGATTGCGGTCTTTAGATACTGTTGAGATGCTCGCTATCTTGCTTGCAAATGAAAAAAATAAATGAAAATAGAAAACAGACTAAAATTAACTATATCAAGACAAACAATTATTGCGTTGGAGTAATGAAGTCATGACTGATAGTTTTCTCTGATCTTTTCTATTCTGCTATAGAGAATATGTACTCACCAAAGAGAGATAAGGGCAAGTAGGGCAATGAGTGAGAAATCATTCCCCAGGTGGAATGCCCATGCCTCAATCCCATCTCCTTTAGTCTCTTCTCAGGATTTTGGGCATGCATGCACACATGCCTGGAGTGATTTTCAAGCCCCCAGGTCCAGACTCCAACCATGCAGTTGGCCATGTGGGATCCAATGTCTTAACCTCCATGACACCTATTGGCCCTTTCTCTGATCTTTTATGCTTTTCTGACTTACTAAATTTTCTACAATGGTATAGTAGTAAGATCCAGTCCCTGATGACTTGAAAACCACAGTAGGAGTACGTGCATGCGTGTGCAAACTCCTGACAGGATAGAGAAGTAGAGGAGAGGGTATTGCAGTGTGATCATATTCCAATGAGGGGTGCTTTTTCTAACCCTCACCACCTTCTCCCTCTCTCTGTGGCAATTAAAAAATAGAGCCAGCAGATAGTGGGGTTGTTAAGATACTAGTCTCCCACATGGCTGACTATGCAGTTCAAGTCCAGTTCAAACCTCACATGCACCAGCTTAAAAAATCACACTAGGCCTGTGTACATGCATACCCAGAATCCCAAGAAAAAAATGGAGAAGAAGGGACTGCGGTGTGGCCACACCCCAGAGGAGTGAGTTCTTACTTTCCCTTTCTCTGTCTCTTGCCAGTAAGCACACACACCCTATACCAAAAACCTAAAAAAACAAGGACAAAAGCACAAAAAAGTATTAAGAAGGACCAAATAAATAATTTCCAAGGTAAATCAAGTAATAAAGAAAAGTAAGTCAAAGAAGAACTAAGAGATATTAAGATATGAATATTGCAGCACTGGCTTCATATAGCCTAGCAGTGAAGGGGGTCAGATCAAACATGTCCTACTGCATAATTTGAATCCTGGCCCTGATGGATTGAAACACATGCTAAGAACTTATGAGTATGTACCCCAAATCCCAATATGATGGAGAAACAGAGGAGAAGGGATTGTGGCATAGCCGCAATCCCTAGGGTGTGTGTGTGTGTGTGGGGGGGGTGCTTCTTCCTTTTCTTGCTTTCTCTCCAGCAAGCACACATCCTCTGGCAATTAAAAAGAAAGAATTAAAAACATACAGACTATGATATCTACTTAATAATCCAACAAAAGAGTTGAACTGAAGGTTTTTAACTTTTTGCTACAAACAGAATCAAGATGATTGTATCTCATTGTTTTCAGTGGGTATATGCCCAGAGGTGAACTTCTGGAGTTAAGGAAAAAAAAAAAAAAAAAAGCACACTTCTAAGGTTTTTAAAGTTTTCTGACAAACTGTATTCCAAAATCTTTCTGCCAATTTATACTTCCACTAAATGAGTATATCAGTACTTACTCCTATGTGTCTGCCAAAGTTTCTAGGTTTTGCTAGGTTTTAATTTCTTTGGCTTGACCTGACTAAATGAAGTTTGATCTGTACACTTCTAATAGTGTATCATGCATGTGCATCCCTATACTAAAGATAGTAAATTATATTGCAGGCAGTAATTTTAAAGGCTCAGAAATCTGTGATTTTTATTAAACTTCTCTGCATTGAAATGATTGGATATTACAACCAGTTTGATGGTGAGACAGGGAAAAAGACAGGCTAAATGTAAGTCAGAGTATCTTCTATATATGAGGTGAATAAGGTAAAAGAGAAAGAAAGGCTTGGGGGCACTAAAGTACACTTTTCCAACCTCACTACCTTGCCAGACTGGCCCACCTTTTTAATCCCTTGAATAATTTTCAACTCAGTAAAATATCAGTATGTCACACACAATTATTTGGGAGAAGACTGTAAAAAAATATACTAGACTTTTCAAGACAAGACAATTTTGTCAAAAAGAGTAGGAAGACTTACCTCACAAAATTCTCTTTACTGTTCTAGATGCTTTCAACAATTCTGGACAGTAGTACCTAGAAATGTGTGTTTAGAACCTCATCTGCCTCAGGCAGGGTTAGTGGTAGTGAGAGAACAGGCAACCTCAGTTTTAGAACCTTGCTTCTGGAAACTTCTCTTCTATAACTGCCGACTTCCTACCAATGTCCTTTGAGTAAGAAGCCGCTGTAGGCAAATGCAACCATTATTTCCAGGAAGCAAACAGATCACAATAGGACAGATTTTCCTGGTTTACAAACTGGATTAGAGAAAATTAAAAGATGGCTTGGCTACAGTTTCCTTCTTCACTCTAAATGAATCCTAGGTGGTTACCAACCCTGCCAATATTAACTGAGCACCTACTACAATCCAGGTATGGTGGAATTCACTAAAGAAACAACATGGGCAAAACAGATACACTCTCTTCTTTACAGAGCTTATGCTCTAATGTTCCTGAATTTTCCATAGGCCACTTGCTACCACTAGTTCTTATCTCTTTCTAGCTAGAACTATTAATTCCATCACATTAAAAAAAATCTATGCCCGGACCAGCAGATGGTGAAATGGTTACATTGCTGGACTCCCATGTAGTCAACTGTGGTTCAAGTCACGATCCTGTTGGCTTAAACTTATGCCAGGCGCATGTGCTTGCCTTCCCAAGATCTTGAGAGGAAAATGGAGAAGGGATTGTGATGTGGCCACCTCCCCCCATGAGGGGTGATTTCTCCCTTTCTGTCTCTTTGTCTCTCTGGTGAGCCCACCTTATAGCAAAAATCTCTCAAAAACAAACAAACAAACAAACAAAAACAACAACAAAATCTATGCCTGCTATAGATTAGAACTAGATGTGAGTCCTGATGGTATCCTTCAGTTTGGTCCAAATATCTTTGTAACCAAAGTAGATATGCTTCAAAATCTATGGTGAGGAGATGTGAGTATTCTCTGGTTTCATAAGAATCTTTCCCAATTTTTAGCTGTTTTGTTTTATTGCTGAGTTTAAAGGAAGAGAGCTAACTTTTACCCACTCTGCCATTTTAACCAGTGTTGACCTAGAAGAAAAACTGTAAGTCTCAAGACTACCAGTTATATGGCTGACAAACATAAACAGCAAGAATAATTTTGTCTTTCCTAGATAAATCACAAGACTTAGATTGGCTAAGAAGGAGAACTTGAAACTGCATCTCTGATTTCAAAAATAATACATGTAGGGACCAGCAGTTAAAGTAATGGCTATGCCGCTGGACTCCCACGTAGTAGACTGTGGTTCGCATCCCGGACCCAGTGGCTTAAACTCATGCCGGGCGTGTGTGCATGCATACCGAAGATCCCAAGAGGGGAATGGAGGAGAAGGGATTGCGGTGTGGCCATCCCCCATGGGGGGTGATTTCTCGCTTTCTATCTCTCTGTCTCTCTGGCGAGCGCACGTGCCCTATAGCAAAAATCTCTTCAAAATAAATAAATAAATAAATAAATAAATAAATAAATAATACATGTATTTTCTCTGTACTTCAAAATGCTTTATGAGAACTAAACACAGGATTGATGGTAGACTACAGCTCTGACTGTGGACTCCTAGACCTGGATTCAAATCCTTTTACCCTGCCAATTTCCAGCTGCATAACCCTACATGACTTTCCTGGGACTCTATTTATGTGGAAAACAAGGGTAATAATAAACCCTATTTTTCCAGATTATTGGGAGGATTATATAAAGTGAATGAAGCACTGGCTTACTACATATTAAACAGCTAGTAATTTGTGACTATTAACATTATTCTTATTTTTTAAGGTTTTTGCCTGAGGTTGTGTGCACTCATCAGAGAAATTGCTGGAGAAAAGAGAGGGAGAGAGGGAACCAGCAGTTAGTGTAATGGCTATGTCTCTGGACTCCCACGTAGTCGACCGCGGTTCGCGTCCCGGACCCGGTGGCTTAGAACTCACGCCGGGTGCGTGTGTGTGCGTGCCCTAGATCCCGAGAGGAGAATGGAGGAGAAGGGATTGCGGCGTGACCATCCCCCCGGGGGGTGATTTCTCACTTTCTGTCTCTAATGTCTCTGTCTGTCTGGCAAGCGCACACGCCCATAGCAGTCGGCAAGCGCCCACGCCCATAGCAAAAACCTCCCTAAAAAAAAAAAAAAAAATAGGCTGAGTGTGCTGGATGTGTCCCTGTTCCTAGTTAACTTGGAGGCTGCAGGAAGAATGTGATGAAACCCTGTCAAAATTACCTATCTCTATCCCTCACTGAAAAGGAAAAAGCAAACAAGTAAGTGAAGCTCTGGTACTAGGTTATAAATTAGAAAATGACTCTCAAACATTTACTTGTCCTGTGCCCCTTCCTTCCCTTCATTCCTCACTTCTATACAGTACCTTTTAATAGCATCTGAAAGATTAGTTCAATAGATATAGCCATGAAAAGGGAAAAAAAAATTGATTGACTTGTATTGCTAAATGGGTCATATGTACAAGTCACATTTTAGCAAGTGAAATTTTTCCTATAAAATCAATCAGTTGAGATGGGAACATTTACTTAGGTAGAAGTGTGTCAAATTTATTTGAAAGAAATACACTCGTATACAAAATCAGCATTGAATTGATTTTTTAAAATGGCACTAATTAATTTCTGATTTTCTCAAATTGATTACAAACACTGGAAAGAGGGTCCAATGTTCATTAAATATAGTTCCCCAGCTCCTTATATATAGTTAACGCTCTTAAAATTTTAATCAATGGATTCCAAATGCCATGTCACATTATCAAACTTCTAATAAAATTTTACGCTTGCATGGTCTTCCACCCCCAAAAATAAATTAAGTTCTCCCTACAATTTACCTTCCTCTTCATCATCATCAGGAGGAGAAGGTATCATGGAACTCTGAGATCCAGACTGTGGCAGGCGAACTGAAGGACTGGCTGTAGTTTTCCGCCTCTCTCTTTCTGATTCACTTTCCAAGCACACAACTTCATATAAAGTGTCACTATTATTCTTTCTCTCCTTTTGCTTTATCTTAAGGATGAAAAAATATTTATTAGGCAGTAAAAGTCTTTTTGTTTTTAATTAAGAATAACTTCTTATTTCATACAGGATGTGAGAATAAATGGTGTTTCTCTGAGTATCTACACTAAATATAATCTTTTGTAAATATAAAAGCCTATATTTAGATTTTCAAAAGTTTAAGAAAATAAGGCATTTACTGAACAGGATTCCAGTTCTACATTTTGTCTTGAAACTATCATCAAATATTCAACTAGCAATATTAGTCAGTGTGAACTAAAAAGGTAAGCATTCTGTATCTTTCAAGTTACCTTAAGGTGTCCTTCAAGGTATCCAATATAAAACTATACATAAAAAAGTACTTTAAAATACTCTAGGGACCAGCAGTTAGCATAATAGCTATGTCGCTGGACTCCCATGTAGTCAACCGTGGTTCGCGTCCCGGACCCGGTGGCTTAAAACTCATGCCAGGTGCGTGTGCGTGTGTGCCCAAGATCCTGAGAGAAGAACGGAGGACAAGGGATTGTGGCATGGCCATCCCCCCTGGAGGGTGATTTCTTGCTTTCTATCTCTCTGTCTGGCGAGCGCACATGCCCTATAACAATACAAAACAAAAAACCTCTTCAAAAAAAAAAGAAAAAAACTCTAAAACATGAAGTTTAGGACTAAAAAATACTCTTATTTCTGTGTTTCTTCCCCACTGCTTTTACTTAATAAAACAGGGTAGGGAAGTTTGTTTTTTTTCTGTTTCCAAATGAAAGCTCCAGTTTGGAGTGAGGTGGGATGAAGGCAAAGAGGGAATAGCAGAAAAGACATCAATAGAAAACACAAAGAATTGGATAGCTCTAATTAATATGTACTTTGGTTTTATTTTGAGGCAAACATATAATAGCTGAAACTTATTTAATTAAAAACAAGCAATACAAAACTTTACGAGTACAATGAATATTTTAGGTATAATAACATTCCATGTTAGGCCAGTTTGAGGAGGAGGAAGAAAAAAGGCAGAGTGAAATGCAGAGGACGAAAAGGTACACAGAAAACTATTTCTGGGCTCAGCAATAGGTTTTTATTTTTAACAACAACAATAACAAAATTCCTAACTGACTGTACACATATGGGTAGCCAATACAGTTTACCTAAAACTCCTTTATGAGTCATAGAGACCAAAGCACTACTGCCTAAAGTCAGATAGATGTAGAATCAGTAACTAGTGGGCCAACTCAAAGCCTGGTGGTTAAGGGAACTGGATCTCATATGGCTGTATGGTTGGAGTCCTGAATTCAGAAGCTTAGAAAACATAGCAGGTGTGTGTGCATGTTTGTCCCAAATCCATGACCAGATTGAGAAATGGAGGAAAAGGGATTATATTGTGACTATGCTCCACTGGAGAACTTGCTTTCTCCTTTCCCCCTCTCTATTTCTCTGATAAGTGCACAAGCACTTTGGAAAATTAAAAAAAAAAAAAAAGAAGAAGGAAAAAGAACTAGATAGATCATGTTTATAAGGCAAAAACTCTCGTTATAAAAAATTTACATTATTGAACAGGGTAATAGTACATGGAGATTTATTATACTATTTTTAAATATCTATGTATGTTTGGATTTTCTATAGCAATAATCTTCTTAGATTGTATACATTATAATAACATATACCCCCCCGGGCCCCCGCCAAGCCGGCGGCGGCAGGAGGGGGGCCGGGGAATAACTAATTCATCCCAAGTAAGCAAATAGAGTATCCCTCAAAAACTCTTAGGGGACCAGCAGATGGCATAATGGTTACATCATTGGACTCCTGTGTATTAAATTGTGGTTTGAGTCCTGGACCTGGCAGCTTAAAACTCATACCAGGTGTGTATGTGTATATGCCCAAAATCCTGAGAAGAGAATGAAGAAGAGATTACAGAGTGGCCATCTGCCTTGGGGGGTGATTTCTTGCTTTCTGTCTCTCTGTCTCTCCAGCAAGTGCACACATCCTGTAGCAAAAATCTCTCCAAAAAACAAAACTAAACAAAACTCTTAGAACATTTATCTTAAAACTGAAGCCATGGGACCAGCAGATGATGTAATGGTTACATTGCTGGACTCTCACATGGCCAACTGTGGTTCGAGTCATGGACCTGGAAGCTTAAAACTCATGCTGGGGGTCGGGGGTATATGCATGCATGCCCAAAATCCTGAGAGGAGAATGGAGGATGGAGGAGAAGGGATCGCAGTGTGGCCATCCCACCTAGGGGGATGATTTCTTGTTTTCTGTCTTTCTGTCTCTCCAGTGAGAGCACGTATCCTATAGGAGAAAGTTTAGAAGGCCTTGAGGTGGGCAATAACTTTTAAGGTATAATACTGAAGGTCCAATCCATGAAAAATGAATTGACAAGCGGGATTTCATTAAAATTAAAACATTCTGCTCTGTGAAAGACTATATCCAGAGACTGAAGAGATAAGACTGAAAAAATATTTGCAAAAGATACACCTGGTAAAGAGCTGTTATCCAAAATGTGCAAAGACCTCTTATAACTCAACAGTAATACAACTTGATTCTTAAGTGTGCAAAAACTTGAGTACCTTACCAAAGAAGCCATTCAGTTGACAGATAAGTGTATGTAAAGATGTTCTATATCACATGTCATCAGGGAAATGCAAATTAGAACAATAATGAGATTCAGTCTGTGGCCTAGTGGTTAAGGTAGCCAGGCCACACATGACCAACTCTGCAGTTCAAGTCCCAAACCTGGTAGCTTAAAACACATGCCAGGCATATATGCATATGTGCCCAAGATCCCAACATGAGGAAGACGCATAGGAGTAGGGATTGCAGCGTGACCACTGTTACTGCCTCTCTCTCTCTCTCTGTCTCTCTCTGGCAAGTGCACATGCCCTCTGGCAAGTTACAAAAATATTAAGAGTCTTCCAATATAGAGGGAAAAGCTGTAGAAGGTTCCTGTGAGATGAGTACCTTATCCCAATAATGGATTCCTTAGCCATGGCATTACTCCTAATTCCCTCCATTATTTCCCCTCCTACGAATTTGAAAGTGGGGAAGGAGGGGTGGAGAGCTCACAAAGGCATCACTACACTTTATTTCATTGTGAAACAGACAACTCCTGTTTTTCAGTGGACAGATCTGGTTCTGCTTTGGATACTACCCTCCTGAATGAATTTTGAACTTCCAAGGTGCTAAGCGTTAGATGGCGACACTCCCTTCGATGGACCAAGGAACAGCCTTAAACAGATACCCTTTAAAAGCAATATGTTTACATTTGATAGATTCAATCTAATGGATATTTATTGAGTCATTAAGAGAAGGTCTGAGGTTTTACAGGGTCATTTTACTTTGTTGGCTATAAGCTGCTAAGAATTGTGAAAAATAGTGATTGTTTATAGGATAGAAAAAGGACTGACCAAAAGCAATTGAAATTCTATTCTAAAGCAAATAAAATTAAGTCCTTGATTGATATTTGCCCATCAAAATATGTTTCGGAATCTGGTTGATGTATTATTCTCTGATTAACTCATTGGGATTTTATATTGGGGCACTATTTCCCATCATTCCCCTCTGTGCACCTGACAAACCAGTAGTCCTAGACAATAAAGCAAAACCTTAGATTCTACAGAGAAAAAAAAAAAAAAAGAAGAACACTTTAGCTATGCGAATAATTTCATTGCTACTAGAAATTTACATCAATGGCAAATTCTCCTATCCACTTCCGAACTTTAGATAATCTGCATTTGGCTTTTGAAATGATGGTCCTTACCTCAACTTTACTCATGCGTAAGTAATTTACATCCTACCACTTAATTAGAACTTTTTAAGAAACAGAAAAATCTGAAATTATGATAAAGATTGATCAGGGTTGCTGCTGTTCTATTTTTCAATAAATCAACCCATAATGACTCAGTACTTAAGTCGAAAAAAAAAATAACATATATATTAAACTACATATATATAACTTAAACATGTTTTAAATTATATGTCACATCTGTTATGTATAAGTTACAGCAAAATGTACTCTATCGGGACCAGCAGTTGGCGTAGTGGCTAATTCTTATATCCGAACCCTGGTTACAACTTCTATGGAGGGGGGGGTGGTAAAAAAAAAAAAAAAAAAAAAAAAATTGCATATGCAATAACCTTATGGACCAGTGACTCTAATAGGAATCTACCAAGATGTACTTCCTTAAAATCAAAACAACACATGCACACGGTTTCATACTGCAAAATTATTAAGAATACCATATAGTTGGGTAAAAAGTCCAAGTGTTCCTAAATAGAAGACTACCTGAAAAGACCACTATTAATCCAAATAAAATAGTCCTACACAGTTAATTAAGGTAGCTAAATCCCACAAGATCAACATTGTGGTCTCAGTCCTAGACCTGGAGGCTTGAGAAACATGCTGGGAACATTGTGCATGCTTGCCTATGGAAACATGCTGGGAACACTGTGCATGCTTGCCCCAGGAAAGAATGAAGAAAGAACTGTGGCATGACTATCTCTCCCCTGCCACTGGGGTGATTTCTCACTTTTCCTCTCTCCCTGGCTCCTGGGAGTGCACATGCCCTGTGGCAAGAAAGAAAGAAAGACGAGAAAGGAAGAAGGAAGTAAAAAACAAAGGAAATTTCTATGTGTTAATGTGGAATGATCCTATATAAAGTTAAAAAAAAAAAAAAAAGGTACAGGCCTGAACATGGTGGCACAGGCAAGACACCACTGTGCAATACTGAAACATGGGAAGCTGTGGGTTTAGATCCTGGGTCAACCTCAATGTTGAGCACACTTGTGATCCTAGCTGACAGGGAGTTTGAGGAATCACAGCATGATGAGATCCTGTCAAGGGTACCTGTCTGTGTCTTTTTCTCTCTCTAAATATATAAACAAACTTTAAAAGAAAAAGTACAAATCAGTACATCTAGTAAGCTAATTTTTATTTTAAAATAATGTTAAAAAAATATATAAGGGGGAACCAGCAGTTAGCGTAATGGCTATGTTGCTGGACTCCCACGTAGTCGACC